GTACTGATACAAGCCAGTATGACACTGACCTTCTCAGTCACCTGGGCACACTGCTGGCTCCTATTTAGCCTGCCCCAGAAACCTGTGCAGAATTGAAATCATTTGGATGCAAATTATATGAGACAATATCTCCATTTCTAGCCACAGACACGTTCTCTCAGAAGAGAACTTTTTTTCATTGCTTAAAGACAAGGAGAATGCAAACACTGTGAAGATATCAGCCCAGCCTCAAAGAGTGCTCTGGTTCATAGAGCAAATCCTGGTCTGCAGGCACAGCTTCCACATTGGCATCCTGTGGCCAATCTTTGAAACAATTTATTGTTGCACCCAAGGTGTAGGGCAGCCTGCTCACCCCTCTGTTTACTCCACAACTCATTTGCTCTCTGGAGACTCACACCTTAGACCCCTGTAGTGGCACATGTGCTTCTTAACCCTGAAGTAACCAGCTGTCCTGTGAATAGCAATGGCAGGATTAAAAACCTAAACCTCTGAAAGTAAAATAATCTGGGAGTCCTCTTTGGCTGTAGGTGTCCAACCCATTCCCAGTTTTCTGAAATGGTGTTGCAACACTGGATTTGAAATCCAGATGAGGTGAGCCCATAATGCAAATAATAGTTCTTTCAACCCGATGCTCTCGATGCTGTCATGAGGAAATGTTCTGATGGGACAGAAGGCTGTAATTACAGGCTTCCTCATTGCTGGCCCTTCTGGGAGAGAGCTGCCATCATTCTGTCAGTGGTTCTGGTGCAACCCAACAGGTCTTCACAAAAACAAAAAAAGTAGTCCCCAGAAATTCTTCATTTTACACCACAGAACTGCACTAAAGTTCAAGAACAGAGTATTAATTCTGTGTCATCATCATAGACTGGTTTGGGTTGGAAGGGACCTTAAAAATCATCTAGTTCCAATCCCCTGCCATGGGCAGGGACACCTCCCACTAGAGCAGGTTGCTCAAAGCCCCATCCAGCCTGGCCTTGAACACCTCCAGGGATGGAGCATCCACAGCTTCCCCTGGCAACATGTTCCAGTGTTTCACCACCCTCAGAGTGAAGAATTTCTCCCTAATTTCTCATCTAAATCTCCCCTCTTCCAGTCTGAACCCCTTACCCCTCATCCTAGCAGTACAAACCCTTGTAAAAAGTCCCTCCCCAGCCTTCTTGTAGGCCAAATCTTCTAAGCCTTCCCAAAACATTAACATTTAAAAAATCAGCCTACAGCCATCACTGCAGTTGACTGTTCTTGCTCCTTAAGGACTGTTAAATGAACATACTTTCTTACAAATAAATGTGTTATCCAGAGGGTGGAGGGAGGTCATCAAGGGAAGTAAGGCAACATTATCCTTCCCTCTGAATTTTGGGTTCATTCCATTGTGTCATGGTTTTCATGTCTGGTATTTCTCACTTTTTAATCTATATAAACATGATTATAGAAGCATTTACTTCAAGAAAGTACTGTGATGACTTTTGTCTTGAGAACCTATCTACCCTACACTCTAGCAGAGTCCCACGTGTAGAAACTCCCTCAGATCTGACCTCTCAAATCAATACTTATTTCATTCATTCCACTAAGTCTCCTCTCCCAGATGTTTCATCCTGATGGTTCACTTCCCTGACACACCCCTTAAAAATCCAGGGTAAGATGCTCCAAGCTCTTGCAGTAGTGCAAGCCCCACAACAAATACAAAGGCCTTTCCCAGTAAATGACTCAAAAAGGGAATCCCTAAATTTCCCAGCAGTTTCCAAGCACTTTGCCCATCCAGCCTCAACTGGGTACTGCAGGAGAACTTGTGGGCCCAAGTGCTGTTGAGGCCCATGGAAGATGTTAGTTTTACTACCTACAAACCTCATATTTGACAGGCAAGTCACATAAACAGTCCTCAGACAGTAAAACAGGAGTAGGACATACTTCAAATGCTGGAGTATTCTCCTGTAGCCTGGCATTGCAGCTGAAACCCAGCCATCTGTGTAGTCATGAACCTTCAGCCTTATGAACTACCACGAAGCACTTCCCAAACTACAAGCAAAGACTTGCTCCTCCTAACTCACTGCTTATTCCTCAGCCTCTTTGAAGAGGTTTTTCCCTGAAAAGCAGCACCATTTAGAGCTCATACCTTCATGATGAGCTGCCCCAAATCAAGGATATTCCTTGACATGGCATTTCCAAGTCCTATTGGTCAGGAAAAAGTAATTTCTCAAGTCAGTGTGATACCTAGACTCCATTAGCCATCAAATATAAGGTTTCCCACAGAGCAGGTTTTACATGGTAAGCCTTTGGTTACTGTTACCTTAAAAGGAATCTCCTAAAACATGTTTTAGGAACACTTTTGTACTCTCCAGTGATGCCTCAAAGTGCTTGGGCCTGTGAAGGACTCTGCAGACTACAGAGCAGATGCAAAATCCTTCGTCTCAAGCAATAGCTTGTGTGCTCATTTGAGACTAAAGAGGGGACAGACAAATTTAGGAAGTGAAACTCTTCCACGTGTGAGGGCAGCTCCCTTTTTCCACTCCCTGCCCATCCTCCCTGTAAAGGCACCTATCTGCAGGCTTGCTTTTTGTGGCTTTATTGAGTCTGTTACTAACAAACTTTTGTATTAACCTGAGAAGCAGGTGGGCACATGAATTCTGCCCCAAAACCACACAGAAACATGAAGACAAGTGCCTATGGACAAAGCCTGGACCTTCTTCCATGGGAAAAACGTGTTCCTGTCCCAAACTCCTTCAACCAAGCAGCATTTAATGCTCCTAACAACAGGCTCATGACACCTTCAGGCAGCAGGATGACACTTCAGTGGTGACATTAGTGTCACTAGCATCAACTTATGACAGGTCTCCATAATGCCAAAGGTAATGCAGAGGAACCTCATCTCTGAAGGTTTGCTGCCTGTGGAGCTACATACAGCCCAGAAAAGTAGGGAGATGTTTGAAGGCATTTGAATGCTTTGAATCCATGAGCTGGGGCAATTAATGAGGTGGGATGGAAGAAGAAGTTGGTTCTCAGCCTCTCCCCACTGCTAAGAAGCCTCCCTGGTAGAAAATATATTCATAGCCTCCTGCCAGAGTACTTGCCAATTAAAATTGGCTTAGTTGAACTCTACCTGATAGCAAATGTCACAGTCTTTTTATTGAGGTTGTGATCAGTGGTGTACTTTGAATCCTGTCTGAACTGGCACTTCCATCTCTCAGCACTCCTGTTGGCTGCTGGAGGCCAGCAGGGCAGAGGCAGTCCCTGCTCCTGCAAGAGGTACCCAGAGGGTAACAGGAATGTGGTTTTGGCACATGAGTTGGGAACCCCAGCCTGACCAAACATCAGAGCTGTTTCCTGGGACTAAACCTGCTCACCACTGCTGATAGACCATTCTTCCAATGGAACCAGTATCTCCCATTTCATATACCCCATGTACCCAGTATGTCCCACTGTTTCCTGGGGTGCATTCAGAAGAGTGTGGCCAGCAGGCTGAGGGGGGTTCTCCTCCCCCTCTACTCTACCCTAGTGAGGCCTCCTCTGGAGGATTGTGCCCAGCTCTGGGCTTCCCAGTTCAAGAGACAGGGAACTACTGGAGAGAGTCCAGTGGAGGCTACAGAGATGCTGAGGGGCTGGAGCATCTCTGTGCTGAGGACAGGCTGAGAGCCCTGGGGCTGTTCAGCCTGGAGAAGACTCAGAGGGGATCTGATCAGTGCTGATCAATAGCTAAAAGGCAGGGATCAATAGGATGGGGCCAGGCTCCTGTCAGTGGTGCCCAGGGAAAGGCCCAAGGTGAACAGGCACAAACTGGAGCACAGGAAGTTCCACCTAAACTTAAGGAGAAACTTCTTTGGTGTAAGGGTGCCAGAGCCCTGGAGCAGTCTGCCCAGAAAAGTTGTGGAGTGTCCAGAGAATTTATGGAGTCTCCTGCTCTGGAGAGATTCCAAACCTGCCTGGACATGATCCTGGGCACCCTGCTGTGGGTGAGCTGCTGGAGCAGGGGGGTTGGATGAGATGATCTCCAGAGGTTCCTTCCAACCCCATCAATCTGTAATTCTGTGACTTTGCCAAAAGATGTAGATTTGGTATTCCAGCCCTGGAGACATCACCAGAATGACTGCAGAGGGAGGACTCACCACTGTGCAAATAATGCCTTATTTCCTACCCTGGGAAAGCACTAGAAGTGTTTCATGACCCTTGAAGATCTCTCAAACCCTGGGGACTAGGAGAAGTCTGGAAACTAGGAGCAGCAGTTCTCTGATAAGCAAACATGATCCTGCCTGTGAAACAAAACCTGATTGCCCAACAGGGCCTCCCTGATGTTTGAAAGAACAAGTTTATTGTCACCTGCAAATGTCTTTGTCAAGGTACAAAGAACTCTCATTTTCTTACATTGCAAGCAACAGGAGCAATATGAAAATACAAAACAACAGAAGAAAGGCAAAGAAATTAAGCAAAAGGATCACACACAGACCTACATCCATGAGATCAGTGACAATAACTGAGGCAGCATGCACCCAGGCAAGTGGGAGTCTTAACAACACTCCTGTGGGAAAAGAGCTGGGCTGTTTCAGTGGAGACAGGACTATGCTGAGTCTGAGAACCTCTGAAAATCTGAATTTAAAGCACTACCTGGTGCTTTTTGCAAGCACTGTGGCTTTTAGATTCATTTCCCTCCTACATTCATGTTCACCTCAGGAAAAAAAAAGAATAATCCAAGATCCAGCACTTAGACTGCAAAAGCTGGTTCCCTATTGCACCCCTCAGCAGAGAAGGGAGAGTTTTGCTTTGTGGAATACCCTCCCCTCTCTTGGCCACTGATGACCAACACAGAAATGAAATACCAGCCAATCTTTCTGTTCCAAACACAAACACCATTCACTTGTATTAGTCTCTGTGTTCAGACTGCCCCATTTCCCTCTCACTCACCAGCTTCCCTAGAACAAGTCAGGTTGTAGCCAGGACCAAATTTACAGGCAAAGCTGAACTGTTTCTGGGGCAATGGTTCATAGTCCCTTAGAGTTCCATACATAATATTTCACTGTGTTCTCCAGGAGCATTTATTTACACACGTGTCTGAGGTTTTCTGTCAGATTTCAAGTTCAGACTTTTCTCAACTAATCTAATTTGTCCAAGATGGATGGCTTCACTTTTTTCCTTTGGAAAACCAATGCTGTTACACTGTTTCCAATTCTTCCTCCAAAGCAAAACTTGGGCGTTGGCAGCTCCTCCAGAATTTCAAATCCTGCCAGACAGAAATGAAAATGCTTTTATTAGAAGGAAGTAACTGTATTCTCCTCTTGGATAACCCTTTGCAAACCATTCTTTATTTGTCTGGAAACCTTGCAAGTGAGTTCCTCTGTTGGTTTATAGGATTGTATCGTTACACCACACTGCTGCTTTACACAGCTGAAACCCTTCCATGGATAATAAAAACCTCAGCTGCCTGACTCACACGAATTAATGGCAGAAAAGAGGAGAACTTGCCAGTGGTTTTAGTTCCCCAGAAGGAACAGTTGTTTTAGATCCACGCTGAGTTTAAGCCTCAGGCATGAGATTCGGGAGCTAACCGGCAGGTAAAAAACACCCTTTATGAGTGGATCAGAAGGGTCACTGAGGAGGTGACATCAGAGGTCACAGTCACAGACTTGCCAGTGCCCCTACACGTGGGCAACAACGTTACCCCAGTTTCAGAGCCCTCAGATGGGTCAGCTGGATCTGGTGACAAAGGACCCAAAGCACCACCCGGGCACACACTCTGCCAGCGTAACCAGATGGAAATCCACACCCTCCAAAGCTCAACACAACCTGCCCTCCTTTGGCACACTGACACTGCCAAGTGCAGAACTTGTCATTCCTGAGGAATATCAAGGGACATATAGGCTGAAGCATCTACAAGTGGCTCCACCTTGCCTAATCCTTATCTGAGAACATCAGGAGATGCCAACACAGACAGGAAAATCCACCCATCGAACAAGCAGAGGTTGGCAGGTGGTTCTGTTCAGCTGCTTACCCTCTCTGAACTCGTTCAGCAGCTCCTCCTTGGTCCAGTTGCAAGATGTTATGAGGAAAAAGCCCTCTGGGTTCAGTGCACTGCAGAGAGAGCTCAGGTACTGTCTCCTCTTCCCCTCAGCGTCATCGGGATTAAGGCTGATGGCATCAAAAGTCCCCTTGTCAATGCACACCTCAAATCCTGACAACTCAGCTGATGGAGCCAGGAAGTCTTCTACCTAAACCAGAAGTCTGCAACTGTGAAAACAACCTTTGACTGGGGAGCTCTTCAATCTAGAAGGCAAAGCAATACTTGAGCATTTAAAAGGTCTCAAACCTGCCAGTGGTTGTGCTTAGGAGGGGGGAACTCACAGGCTGTTCACACAATGCCCTGTCACCCTCATCCTCCTCCATGGGTTATGTGATGATCTGTTTGCTGTAAAGCCCCTGTACACACCTGTCCACCTGAAGCTCAAACTAGCATACATGAAGTTCACTCTTTAATGCCTTATTTGTACTTTGATCCCCTGTTTCCTAGGTGCCAGGCACTGTACAAATACAGGAGAGCAGACAGCACCTGCCACAGAGAGCTTTCACCTGGCACACAAGGACAGAGACATCACATGGGTACAGAGCTGGAGGATAAAACAGGGCAGCAGAGAGCTCAGAACGAAGGGCACTCACAGGATCAGAGGAGGGCTGAGGTTGGACAAGACCTCAGGTCATCTGGTGCAACCCCCTGCCCCAGCAGGGCTTCTCAAACTTCCTCTGCACAAGCTACCTGTAGGGATTCTATCCCTTAGGGATTCCATCCTCTGTCTCAAATCTGGAATTCAGAATGTAGCAGCACAAATACAGAACTTGCCAAATGGCAAACCACTGTTCAGAAGCAGGGGGATCTTGTGAGCCCTAACAACTGCTACAAGCAGAAAATACAAGACCCAAAATCTTCTTGTAAATACAGATTTATTTGGTTAGAGTTCTCTCACAAATGAATGTCAAAAGACATCATTAGTTTAGTACAGAGTCCATCTGCTTATAAATTAGGTCATTTACTCTTGGGTTCAACTGCTATTTCCTCAATAAACTTTCTCTCAAAACTTACCTTTAATTTAATGTCAGACAGCCCTTCCTTCTCTCTTATTTTTTCTGAAAGTTGTATTGCAGCAGGAGAGTAATCAATCCCTGTGAGATTCCTGTAGCCAGACTTTGCCTAGACAGAAGAGAACCTTCATCAGTGTGCTAATCATTTTCTTATCAAGCAAATGTATTCCCTATCTATAAGCCATCTCATCTCTCCTCCTCCTCAGGACAGAAAAAACCCACCCCATTACTCATTTTTCTTCTCCTTGCCATTACAAGACCTAGATGGCTGGGGAAAGGAGCTGAAATAATTCCATTCTGCCCAATATCTCCTCAAAAGAACTGCTGACTAAAAGCTGGTTTATGTCCACAAGTGCAAGACTGAACAGGACTGTGAGAAGGAACACCCTGCAGGGGAACAGGCTCTCTTATCTGCACCAAAAGTGACCTAGAAAGCAAGAATTTTCAGTGCTGAGAACATGCACCCATGCCAGATGCTTCCAAATGAGAAGAAAACCTCTCTGACAGTTACATAACATTTGAGATTGAGCAATTATTTGGTCCCTAACCCAAGCTGTACAAGCCAAAATATGTCATGCATTTTATAAGCACAGAAATCCACTGTAAAACCTTGGATTTTTTGTAGTGACTCAGGCTAATGTCTAGCTGAATGCAACTGTTTGTGTGCTGCAAGGCCTTTGCATCAGCAGTTTTCAGGGGGGTTGTGCACCCCATAAAAAAAACAAAGCACACAGAGACTTTCTCCTGCTCTGCCTTTGGAGCAGATAAGGATAACCCAGCTCAGCAAAGTCAGGCAGTGAGAGCAGTGAAGCAGGTGGGGGCAGCCCACAGCTGGAGCTGGGCACACAGGAGGGGGACAGTGACACATTTGCACTCCAAGACAGAAGCTGGAGAGCCCAGATCTGAGCCTGTTCATTGGTGTGGTCTGACCCAGACCTACCAGGAAGAGCCATGATCTGACAGAGAGGGAGGAGGAGGCCTGGGCTGGGTTTTGAACCACACGTGGACTTTTAACTAGCATTAAGCAACCAGCTGCATATCTGCTTGTTCCAAAGGCTGACATCTCCACAGCCAGGAAAACTACAAGGAGAATGTTTTACAACAGTCCTTCCTCCTTCCAGCAGCTCGTGTGAGCTCAGTGCTTACCAGCTGCTCTTTGCTGAGCACTAACTCCAGCTCAGCACAAAGACTGTGCTGTTTGCATTTGATGAAGAGCAGCTTATTGCTCAGGCTTCTGCCCACGTTCCTCCCCAGAGCACACCAAGCTTCTCAAGATGCCTTTCCTGAAGACTTGGGGGTGGAAGAGTAGTTCCCACAACAATTCCTCTGTTTGGAAAGGAAGAGCTTGTGTCATTTCAGGGAGTTTCCATTCCCTCCTTTAGTCTCCAGGGCAGAGAAGGTTTAAGGATAAACAACCTTAAATGCTGCTAGACCTGTGTCAGACAGGACCAGGCTGCATCCTGCAGCTGGACTCCTGCCCTGAAGGTGGTGTTCAGGAGCACTCTTCTGCCCTTTCTGGAAAAAGCAGCTGATCAGCAGAAGGTAGTTTGAAATGTCATCAGCACCACCCCACGTTTGGGCTTCTGGTGCTGCCCTCACTTGGCTGGTGAATACCCTTCACTTCCTAGAGGTTTTTCAGTCCTGCTGGCTCCCACAATGCCCAGGGGAAAAAAACCAAACAGGTCAGAGCTCCATAGGGCAGCAGCATTTCCTTAGCAGAGCAGGGATTTTTGGAAGACAGAATTAGTTCATCAATGCAGCCTACCAGATTCCTTAAGTTAGCAGGGGTAGGACCACAGTTTACTGCATATGTAAAACCAGCAGGGGCTCCTGCTCATCATCCAGGATCCTCCCAGCAGGCAGGAGGAGAGGAAGCCTCCAGCAGCATCCCTGTGATGCTCAGAGACAGGCAGATTCCTGCAGTGTGCATCCAGGAGACAGTGTGCTGGCCACCTTGCCTTCTGGCTGGGTACTGGGGCTGGTTTACAGAGGATGCAGCAGCCTTTCTGCTTTTCACTTTCTCACCTGCTCTTCAGGTGACTATTCTGCCTCTTTTGTGTAAAGTCATCTCATTATCCTTTCCTGTTGAAGGCACACCAGTGCCCAGAATTCCCCAACAAACTTCTCAGAGGCTCCTCTCCCTGCTCTAACAATGGTCCAACAGGCACCCTCAAGGAGTGACCTTTCAGAGAGGGGCTGCTGATGCCCTGTAGGACTGGAATGCAGCTGCCCTTTGCAGTACTGCCACTTCTGCCCATCATTGTGTCCAACTCCAGTGGCAGAACTGCTCTACAGTGTTTGCCAAAAGAATTCTAACTTGATTTTTCAAAGCCTGGCAGCCAACGATGAAAAAATTCCTCCTACATCAGCTCAGGAAGTGAGATCCTGAATTATTCAGCAATGATGAACAATGTAGTTTTTGAAGTTACTTTGGATTGAAAATGTCCAATTAAAGCAACCACAGAACTCTGAGGTGCTTAATGAAAGGGGGGAGGGTGCTCTTAGGGCAGCTGAATAGTTTTTAAGAGCTACTTTCCCATCACAGAATGAAAACCAACTTCAGATTCACAAGTGGGGCCAGTATAAAACTGAAGTCTTACAAATAAGATTTTTCTGTTGGATATTTCAACAATAGCCCTTGCTAGCATTGCATTTAACAATCATTATTTTGGGGCTAATTTCTCATAATGAGGTTTCTCCTTTGGATGATAGAACTCCTCTTGTGCTGCAGAGCAGCAGCCAGTCCCCCATAAAGGCTTTAAAATCTTCTAAAATCAAAGCCCACGTTGAAAAAAAAAGGCCATTACAAGCCTGGTGTTGACTTCCAGCCTTTTTAATTTCTACAGTAAATACTGGAGCCAATGGAGAGTGTAAAATAAAAGTGTGACAGCACAACAGCTCCTTTCTTTACCCACTCTCCTGTAGTATTACACCCAAGAATTCAATCAAAAATAGGAAGAAACTGCTGGAACTCCTGAATATCTTCTAATACTTTGGAACACACCTGGTGAGGAGTTTCCATCCTGACAGAAACAGATGCTTCTGGATGGGTTAACAACTTTTTAATTCATTTAAACAACAAACCTGGTGGTTTGACCATTTTTTACATCTATAAGGAGTATTCTCATCAGAGCTGAGTGGGGAGAAAGGGTCTGGGTTTGCACAGGAGAATCTTTTTGTGTATTAGACAACTTAATTTCCTTACCTGGGAGTGTTTTACCCAACAAAGGGAAGAAATGCATTTTGAAATGCAGGACAAGAGAAAGGTAAAGTTAAAACAAGGGATATTCAGGCTGATTGATTTAAAGAAATACTGTAAATTTTAAAATCTAAAGTGCTGACACTCTGGGCAGCACCAAGAAATGAGAAGTTTGAGGAGGTCTAGCAAAAAAAAAAACTAGATTCTTTTTAAAATTTAAACCACCCCACTTGGAGCACCAACCCTGTATCAGAAGCACAAACCTGGCAATATACCAACCAATTCAACCAGTAAAACCCCATTTCCAGTTCCAATGTCAAGCACAGAGCTGTCCAGGGGGACCTTTTGTCTCTCCAGCCACCTGATGATGCGAATCATGCTCTCTTCTCCAAACCTATGAAAAACAAAGGCTCAGGTCATGAAGAGAGTTAAAAAAACACACAAAAAGTACAGCAAATCTATTTCCTCACTCCCTCTCTCCAACTTTTTGCAAAGTGCTTCTTCCTGAAGCACTCAGGTGACAACTGCCACAGCTCATACTCCACCTTTGCTGTGTTTAAATGAAAAGGACATTAAAATTCACCAAAACACCAACTCTAGAGGTGAAGCTCTCCAGATATTCAAACGGGTGGCAGCACAGGCAACCTGCACAGTTAAACCTGAGCTCTGGGATAAAAACTACCACGTGTAAATAACACCCATCACAACTACCAGCTCACGTCCTGTGCAGCACCCAGAATGATTCACTAATTCACTGAACTGCTGTGTTTTTGCAGTGTCTGTTTTTTATGAAGAAATTATACAATCACTCCAGTGGAGTTATTTTATTTACCAAATTTCCCCAGTATCTCCAATGTCTTGAAAAGTCCGCAGCTCTCTTTCATACGCAGCATCCCAGCTAGAATCGGGAGGAGAGAAAGGACAAGATATCGCAATTAACACTGGAAAACAATTAAAGAGCGAGGGGAAGGCAGGGCGGGAAGGCTGCAGCTGAGCAGCGGCGCCCATTCATGTGCCCCATGGATAAAGCGCTCGGGAATACGTGGTCAGGCAAGACACGGGGATGGGGAGGAGCACGGAAGGGAGGGTGAGGGTTACCGGAGGGGGCAGGCAGGGCGAGGGTGAGGGTGAGGGTTACCGGAGAGGGCAGGCAGGGTGAGGGGAGGGTCACCGGTGAGGGCAGGCTGAGGGTTCCCGAGAGCACCACACGGCCCTGC